TGAGATGATGAATAATAAGCCTTTTTCTATCTAGAAAATTTCCATTTCTATGTCACTTCCAGCTCTTCAAGGTAATATTTTACTAGTTAATTCTTTTATTTTCTAGAACCTTCTTGTCTTTAGTAGAGAAAATATGTTCTTAAGTCTATTTAGATTATTAAAGACTTAAGTTTTTGTTCAAAAAAGTTTATAAACAAGTAAGGGAGGATAGTAGTAACTTTTGAAAACAAACTTCAAGTTGTTTTAAGGAAAGGAAGACTTTATTAGTTAAGAACTATTAAAACTTTTTGTAAACATCCTTTTTATATGTGGTTAAAACTTTTTGTAAACATCCTTTTTATATGTAGTTAAAAAATTAGTAGAAAGAGTTTTTTATTTATTAAAATAATTTCAATAAAATTTTTTTATTTATAATATATAATAAAATTTGAATATTATAAAAAAAAAACAATTTTTTATTTTTAAATTACATATTTATAATTTTTTTAAAATAATTTTAAAAATTTTTCTTAAGTAATATTATTTTTATATTCTAAAAAATAAAAATATAAATTTTATTTTTATTTTGACAATTGGTTATCAAATTTTGAATATAAATTATAAATCAATATTTGTTTAAAGACTTTTGTACTATACTAGATATATTATTAAACTAATTGATACTTAAAGTTTTATTTTAATGCAATAATTGAAATATAATAACTTGTTTATACTATTAAACTTTTTTTATTATTCATTTAATTAAAAAAAAAATCAATAAAATTATATTAATTTATTAAAATTGGTTTTTTTTTTTAAAAAAATTTTTTAAGTTACAATATATTAAGATAATAAAACCAAAACTGTTAAAAAGAATTTAATACCTCCTATTAATTCGAAAAAATAATTAAATGGGATATTTTGATCATAATTCACTTTTTCCACTTGATATATCTTCTATTGAAAATGAATTAATGTCAATATCAAACAATTCTTCCACCTTGTTTGCAAAGTAACTCGGAAATGGAGCATGAATTTCGATCGGATTTTTTAAAAATTTTCCAGAAGTAGTTCGCCAATTCTTAGATTATTATAAGATATAAGTAAATTAAGAAAAAATCCATAGTGTATGAACAAGGAACACCTACTCTAATCACGAGTCTCCTCAAGTGTAAATACATGGGCTCGAATTCCTCATAATCATTTCTTTTTGAGGAATACCTATTGTCTCCTAAAATTGGAGCTTACAAATTACTAATATTAGTAAATTTTGCAAAATAGCAAGTACAATAAACATATGTATAATTAATTACCTTCCAGTATTGTAGAGCAATGAACTCTTAATTGATGCTTTCTGCCAGTCTGCGGAAACAATCGAAGTAGTGCATAGCCATTTGTACCAGCTAAGACTTGAAAATCAGTTGTTGCTGTTTTCGACTTCGTAAATAATGGTGATTCTTTGTCTTCAATACGAATATAAAATATATTATTAACATAATGTGCTAATATTATGTAAAAGAAGCTTATAGCATACCTGTAATGGCTGTAACCCTCTCAAAAGGTGGCCTACCTCCGTAAACTATTGGTATGTTTATTCGCCTTCTCGTCATATCGCGTGGTAAAAACCTTGTAACAATTGTTGTATACTGAATTGCATCTAGTGAATCGTACTATATATGCAAATTTCCTGCGAAAAGTATACAATTTGCGAAAATAAACGAGTACCATCTTTTCTATCGAACTTTCACGAAACATTGATGATAATTGGCCAGCTGCTGACCTTGTTCTTCCAAGAATCAATGCCCCTGTTGTATTCTAAAAATATGAAAATTAGTTTTATATAAGAGACCTCGTCAAGCTGCTACACGTTTCATCACACATTAATTCATGCTTCAACACCTTATCTAATCTATGAACCAAACGGGGCGGATCAGGATAATCATATTGTAATGCTGCATGTGTTTGTTGCATCAATTTAATTAATGTTAAGAGTGTCTTTGTCTTTAATAAAAGCTATCGTCATGATAAATACCGCGTAGTAGACCATCAACATGTTCCAAAGTTTTAGGACCACCTTGAAAACAGAGATCGAATAATAACGTTAACAGCTATAGATATTCTGTTTCTTTGAAGTTACCTTACCTTGAGTGGCAAGTCTTGTGGGTTTATTGATCACCATAATTTCATCATCTTGATATATGATCATTGACCTGATCCGCGCAATCTCTTCTTGGCTAAAGGACTGAGAATATATTGATTACGAGATGGCTATATACAATAAGGTTGGATAAGAGTATCTCACCTCGGCGTCTCGCTTTGTTGACCTAATGCGTTTCCTTTCAAGGTCCAAATCAGGACTTCTTATGGTCACAATATCTCCTGCTCTTACTTTACTTGATTGATTTGCACCTTTAGTTTGTCGCACCTCGTTATCGGTTGCATTCTCGCTCGTTCCCTTTTCCTCTTTAGGTTTTCCTTTCCATTTCACCTTACAAACCAAAAAGTGTCGAATTCAGAAAATGCCGACAGAAGTATGATTACGTTTTCGATAAATCTTCGACTAATGCTCAACTTCATTTTTCCGAATTTTCCTTTGTAAAACAGAAATAGGAAGTCCAGTTTTAATGTGTAGAAACCTATCAAGCCTCATGTCGTCATCATCCTCGCTAACCATAAATTCATGTGTTTTAAAGTGACCGTCACTCATCGGTCTTGTAACAAAAATTCGAGATACAGGTATTATCGAAAACCATCGTTTGGTCGACGATGGCGAAAAATAACGCGAATTTATCATTATGTGCATTTCAAATAAGTCTGATAATCACACATCTAAATAAGACAGCTTCAAATGGCATATTATGCGTACTGTATATGCAAGAATTTTATAATTAGATAATGTCAAATGTCTTGACCCGAGAAATCTTTTTAATTTTATTATATACAGTATACGTAATGCAAAAAAAAAAGATAGAAATTCAAAAATTAAATATTAAGTTATCGGTTATTGCGCAGAAAAAAATAATAGCTAGTCTAAAAATTAATTATATTAATACTATAATTATATAAAAAAAAGAAATAAATATTCTTAATCCATGATTATATTATTATATTATGTTTTTATTGAGATTTTTTTTTTTTTTTGCTAACCTATAAGTAATGATGGGTTCCTAAAGTATTTAGCATATAAAATTTCGCAGATCACTTATGTCCCTTTTTGAGAAACAAAATTCATAGCTCTTCACTTTAATAAGGACAAAAGTCTAGAAATACTATAAATTAATGATTTAAATAATGGAGAACAATTGTTTTTTTTTTTTTTA